ACCGGATAACCCTCAAACTCGCATGAATAGAGGGGGGGATTCCGGGGTCACATCCATCGGACCCACTTGCCCCCTAGAGGATTCCCAGAGTCCTGAGTGTATACTTGAAGAGGACTCATGCTCAGGTAAACCCAGGATAGGTACTGCTAACCGGTGCCCAAAACTACCAAACAAACTGTCTACAGCTGAACCCCAGGGACGTGTACACTCACAGGGACCATGCAAGGGGGCACCACCAAGTATCAGTATGAGACCAAACACCAGTGGCAAATAGAGCAGAACCCCCTCCCCCCCCTCCAGCCCCCACCAAAGCAAAAACAAAAAGAAAAACAATACCCCGCACGAGGATAACGTACCCTGCAAGAGGACAACGTACCTTGCAAGAGGACAACGTACTCAAGGAACAGAGCCGGCCGCTGTAATAGGCGACACTAAGCTGCACAGCACCCTGCGCCCTTACCAGTGCAAAAACTTCCTCTTTCCCTAAGGTAAACAAGGAAGACATAACACCCAAGTACCCAAAGGGCGGCCAAAAACAGAGCAGTTAAACGGACCCACAGAGGCAGACCCCGAGGAACTTATGGAAGGAAACCCCAAGCCCCAAGGGCAGTACTTACAAGGCACCTAGGGAAGGGAACCCTAGGTGCATGCAGCCCGAGTACTGAAAAATAACTCCTGGCTCTCGCACCCCTGGAGTACAGCCGCCACACACAAGGCACAGAGCCGCAAAAAGACTGGAGCCAGATTACACAACCGAGCCGATAGCATCAGCCTCAAGAACTGGGGTGTGGATAGACAGCGCAGTGGGTCTGGGGCTCTCCCTTCCCAGGGAGGGGGGCGCTGCGCAGACAGCGGCGTGACGACAGGTGACATCATACTAGTTTGCTCGTTTTTGTTTGGGAAGTTCGATCCACTTGTTCGGCTTTATGGTTGCAATTTTCACCAGAATAGGGGTTTGTTTTGAGATGCTTACCTTTCTGGGTGCCTAACCCGGTCAATGGTAGACATAGAATGTTTCCAAACACACAGGGTTTCTATAGGCTATTGCTCCTCCTGCCTCTCTAGAGGGAGCCAGGTTTTGGCTCGTGGTCCCCGGTAGGCCCACAGAACTCCGTACAGATGACCGATGCCAAAGTCTGACATTAGCATATCAGCCTAGAAAGCTTCGGGAAGCCATAGAGGCTCCCCCCAGAAAACCAACGTTGAATGTAATGAAACGCCATTTTCTGGGTGAGACCCGGAGGCTTCCCAGAGCTTACTAGGCTGATATGCTAATGTCAGACTTTGGCATCAGTCATGTGTATGGAGTTCTGTGGGCCTACCGGGGACCACGAACCAGAATCTGGCCCCCTCTAGAGAGGCAAGGGCAGCATTGGCCTATAGACACCCCTGTGTGGTTGGAAGCATTCTATGTCTGCCATCGACCGGGTCAGGCACCCAGAAAGGTAAGCATCCCAAAACAAACTCCTATTCTGGTGAAATTATTGCTACCAAAAGTCGAACACGTGGATAGAACTCCCCTAAAAGAAACGAGCAAACGATCATGATGTCGCCGCGCCGCTGACTGCGCAGCTCCCCCCTCCACAGGAGGGGGAAGGGGGAGCCCCAGACCCCTCACGCCGGCTATCCACCCGTCAGTTCTGAGGCTGGATGTCAAAGCACACAAAAAAAAGGCCGACCGAGAGGAGGGAGGGATGCCGAGGAGCCTCCGGGTCTCACCCAGAAAAAGACATTTCATTACATTCAATGCTGGCTTTCTGGGGGGTGCCCCGTCGGCTCCCGGGAGCTAACTACCCACAGAGGAAAAACTTAGGGACTTATCCAGGAGGCGGTCGTTGCTCACTCCTCAACTTGAAGGCGAGACAGCTGGCTGCAACTGCCAACCCAAAACAACACAGGCCCAACTAGGCCCAGGGACGCTTACAAGGTAACGAGCAGCCAGGACCATGTTCGACTGTCAAAAGCTCCGTGATTGTCAGCCCAGTACATGGTGCGAAAGACGGCAGCAAGAGCAGCAAACTTACGAACATCATAGGCACAGGGATAGACCGCAGCCTGGCTAGCCTGAAGAACTCTGCAGACGACCTGGGAGACCCGCACCCGAAACAAGTTAGACGGGAAACCGGATCATCCCAAAGAGCGTCCCCGGACACAGAAGCCGTGGCGCACAATAACGGCAAAGAGCTGCCACTGGACACAACATGATGCACCCCCCGGCCCAACCAACCAAGCATCAACAACCCAGTGACCCCTCCGGAAAGCAGCAGTCCCATTCTTCTCCAGAAAAGAAGGAGACGGCTGCAGACAAACAAAACCAACACGAAGACCGAAAGAGCAGAAACCCCTGCGCCAGAGGAGAGCATGAAGCTCACCAACCCGACCCCGCCAGAGGCCAATGCCAACAGAAAAGGAGCCTTGGAGAACAATCCTGAAGTGAAGTGAAGGGGTCACAACAAACTGAGGAGAAGAAAGAAAAGAGCACTCTTTCCAATGTCCAGGACGGCTCAGGCGGCGCAAGAGCAGGCCAGAGGTGAACAATGCATGAGACAGCTTGCGAAACGGCGCAGAAGTAACATCAATACCAAAAGCAAGCTGAAGCAGCTCCGCCAGTGCCGCACAATACGAGGCGACAGTACGGGGTAAGATGACGGCCTCATACGTTGACAAGAGAAGGACAAGACCACGCTAACAAACGCAGCTACCGAAGAAGGAACAGAAGAAGAAAAACAACCGCCAAAAACCCCACACCGCAACCAAGAAGAAGCACGCAGGTGGGACACCATCAAGGAGCCACCCGACCACTAACAAAAGGTGAGAGACTCGAGGCAGAATCGAACCGACCATGGGCCAATCGAGTCTAGGAAGAGGCAGAACCGCAGGAAGATCTCAGGTGCGATCAAGGAGCCAGCAGAGCCAGAAACCCAAGCCGGCAAAGGAGGAGATGGAATGTCCGCCGTACAGAAAAACATCCCAACGCCGGCGAGCATGCCAGGAGATCGGAGACGACAGTCCCGACGCGCGATTCTAAAGAGGGGAAACCGAGAGACCGTGAAAATGCCAACAGGCCGGGTAAGCCAGGAAACCTGGCATTAGGAGAGCCAAAAGACACAAACAAGAACACACAACCATTGGTAAGATAAAATGAGAAAACGGAAAAAGACAAGAAAAGACCAGAAGAAAAAGCCCCAGCACCAACGGCCAGGGATAAGAGCCTAGAAGGAAGATGAGGAACGAAGAAGGCAAGTAGCAAAACGGGAATGAAAGGGACACGACCAACAACACACAGAGCCAACTGTCACATCCCAACAAACCGGTGGCACCTTTGGCTCAGGGCCGAAGGTGCCACCGACCCCACAGGCAGCAGACGGAGGCAAAACATTGAGAGTCACCCTGAGACAAGGGGACAATCAACCCTCGAACTCGCACAAAGCAAGGGGGGGGGGGACTCCGGAGCCACATAAATCGGACCACGCGCACCCTCGGGGTTTCCCAGAGTCCTGAGCGTTTACCTACAGGAACTCATGCCCAGGTAATCCCAGATAGGGTACTGCTAACTGGCGCCCAAGTCTACCAAACAACTTTCAAAGAACTGAGCCCCTGGGACATGTACACTCAGGGGGAACTCAGGGGGACTTAGCAGGGGGAACCACCGGAAGAAGGAAGAGTACCCAGTACAAAGGGGGCAAGAAACAAAGCAGACCCACCTCCCCACCAAGCAGACAAACAAAAAGAAAAAGAATACCCTGCAAGAGGACAACGTACCCAGGAGGAACAGAGCCGGCCGTTATGATTGGTGAAAACAAGCTGTGCAGTATCCTGCGCCTCTACCAGTGCAAACTGCCCCCTACCCCAAGGCGAACAAGAGAGACAGAACACCCTAGCACACAAAGGGCAGCCGAAAACCAAGCAGGGGCAGGACCCAAGGAACTTGTGGAAGGTGGTCCCAAGCCCCAAGGGCAGTATTTACAGGGTACCTAGGGAAGGAAACCCTAGGCGCATGCAGCCCGAGTACTGGAGAATCACTCCCGGCTCACACACCACCTAGAAGACAGTCACCACACACTAGGTACAGTGCTGAAACAACCACTGGAGCCAGAGTACACGACCTCAGCCTCTAGCATCAGCCTTAGAACTGACGGGTGGATAGCTGGCATGAGAGGTCTGGGGCTCCCCCTTCCCCCTCCCGGGGAGGGGGGAGGTGCACAGACAGCGGCTCAGCGACGTGTGACATCATGATTGTTTGCTTGTTTCTTTTAGGAGAGTTCTATCCACCTGTTCGGCTTTTGGTAGCAATAATTTCACCAGAATAGGGGTTTGTTTTGGGACGCTTACCTTCCTGGTGCCTGACCCGGTCGATGGCAGACATAGAATGCTTCCAAACACACGGGGGAGGTTTCTATAGGCCATTGTTCCCCTTGCCTCTCTGAGGGGGGCCAGGTTCTGGCTCGTGGTCCCCGGTAGGCCCACAGAACTCCATACACATGACTGATGCCAAAATCTGACATTAGCATATCAGCCTAGTAAGCTCTGAGGAGCCAACAGGTCTCCCCACAGAAAAATATTGATTTTTTGTTGTTGTTGCACCTAACAGGGTACCTAGGGGAGCCGGTCGGCCGAGCGGACAGCACACGGGACTTGTGATCCTGTGGTCCTGGGTTCGATCCCAGGCGCCAGCGAGAAACAATGGGCAGAGTTTCTTTCACCCTATGCCCCTGTTACCTAGCAGTAAATTAGGTACCTGGGTGTTAGTCAGCTGTCACGGGCTGCTTCCTGGGGCTGGAGGCCTGGTCGAGGACCGGGCCGCGGAGACACTAAAAAAGCCCCGAAATCATCTCAAGATAACAGTGTTGAAGGCCATTAGACCCAAAGCAGCATAAGGGTTAAGGGTTAAAAAGGGGGTGAAATCCAGCACTATGAACATTGCTTGTGCCATAACAGTACATCATACTAAACAGAAAATCTAATTTTTTTTTTTTTTTTTTTTGCAACACGTCTCTTACCTCCTCCTTGGGTTCCTCTACCTGCGGAGTGTAGTCCTCCCAGGGTTGGTTGTCATCTGAGGTAGCATACAAGAAACATGAAGCCAAAGTCAATGTCTTGGTTAATAAAGGACCAAAATCTTCTTGCAGCATATTCACTGATGCCACTCGAGCTGCAGCTGTAAAAAAAAAAAAAAAAAAAATAGGACAATGATATATATATCCATCCATTTGTCACTGATGTCTTCATTATAAGCAACATGCATAAAGGCAGAAACTGAAGAAAGCAAATGAGCAAGAGGATGTAAGGACATTCAGAGAGTGAGTGAGTGAGTGAGTGAGTGAGTGATAGCTATGCTCTCATCCTGTAGAGAGCTACGCTCTCTACAGGATGAGAGCTACGCTCGTGGTGTCCCGTCTTCCCAGCACTCTTTGTCATATAACGCTTTGAAACTACTGACGGTCTTGGCCTCCACCACCTTTTCACTTAACTTGTTCCAACCGTCTACCACTCTGTTTGCGAAGGTGAATTTTCTTATATTTCTTCGGCATCTGTGTTTAGCTAGTTTAAATCTATGACCTCTTGTTCTTGAAGTTCCAGGTCTCAGGAAATCTTCCCGATCGATTTTATCAATTCTTGTTACTATTTTGTACGTAGTGATCATATCACCTCTTTTTCTTCTGTCTTCTAGTTTTGGCATATTTAATGCCTCTAACCTATCCTCGTAGCTCTTGCCCTTCAGTTCTGGGAGCCACTTAGTAGCATGTCTTTGCACCTTTTTCCAGTTTGTTGATGTGTTTCTTAAGATATGGGCACCACACAACCGCCGCATATTCTAGTTTTGGCCTAACAAAAGTCGTGAACAATTTCTTTAGTATATCGCCATCAATGTATTGAAAAGCAATTCTGAAGTTAGAAAGCATGGCATAGGCTCCTCGCACAACGTTCTTTATGTGGTCCTCAGGTGATAGTTTTCTATCTAGAACCACCCCTAGATCTCTTTCTTCATCAGAATTCTTTAAAGATTTCTCACATAATATATAGGTTGCGTGGGGTCTATGTTCTCTTATTCCACATTCCATAACATGGCATTTATTAACATTAAATTCCATTTGCAAAGTTGTGATCCATATACTTATTTTGTCCAGGTCATCTTGAAGGGCATGATAATCATCTAAGTTTCTTATCCTTCCTATTATCTTAGCATCATCAGCAAACATGCTCATATAATTCTGTATACCAATTGATAGATCATTTATGTAGACAATATACATCACTGGTGCAAGAACTGAACCCTGTTGTACTCCACTTGTGACATTTCTCCAGTCCGATACATTGCCCTCATCGGTATTATGATTACTGCCCTCATTTTTCTATCAATCAAAAATTTTCCATCCATGTTAGAAACTTACCTGTCACCCCTCCAATATTTTCCAGTTTCCAGAACAACCTCTTATGTGGAACTCTGTCGAAAGCCTTTTTTAGTTCCAGATAAATGCAGTCATCCCAACCATCTCTTTCCTGTAAAATCTCTGTGGCTCGATCATAGAAACTGAGTAAATTCGATACACAGGATCTTCCAGGTCGAAAACCATACTGATATTATATCATTTCTCTCCAGGTGTTCTACCCATTTAGTTTTGATTACTTTTTCCAATACTTTCACTATTACACTAGTCAATGATACAGGTCTATAATTGAGGGGGTCTTCCCTGCTGCCTCTTTTGTAGATTGGAACTATGTTAGCCTGTTTCCACACGTCTGCTACGACTCCTGTACACAGGGATGCCTGAAAGATCAGATGAAGTGGAACGCTGAGCTCAGATGCACTTTCTTTCAGAACCCATGGTGAAACTCCATCTGGGCCAACTGCTGTGTTCTTACTGAGCTCCTTTAGCATATTTTCCACTTCATCTCTAGACACCTCTATCCGCTCTATGTTGTTCTCTGGAATTCTTATCGTATCTGGTTCTCTGAAGATTTAATTTTGTACAAACACACTTTGGAACTTTTCATTTAATGTTTCACACATTTCCTTTTCATTTTCCGTGAATTTGTTTCCCATTTTAAACCTCTGGATATTATCCTTTACCTGCAATTTGTTGTTTATGAATTTGTAGAATAGGCCCGGTTCTGTTTTACATTTATCTGCTATCCCTTTTTCAAAATTTCTTTCTGCCTCTCTCCTTACTATCATATAGTTGTTTCTTACTTCTTTGTATCGCTGGTATGTTTGGGGGTTTGGCCTCTTCCTATACTGATTCCATTTTTGTGTCTTTTGGTCTCTGGCCCTCTCGCAATTTCTATTGAACCAATCCTGTTTTCTGGCCCTGCATCTCTGTTTTGGTATGAATGTTTGTGTTCCTTCATCGTATATTTTGCAAAATTTGGCATACATTTTATTTACTTCCCTACCTAAAAACAAGTCTGTCCAATTACATTCATTAAAAAAATTTTGAAGTTCCACATAGTGACCTCTTCTTAAATCGAGTTTATCATGTGTTTCAATATCCCCATTTTCTTCTAGATGATATCTTAAAGCATATTGAATGTCTAACATGACGTGATCACTCTTTCCCAAGGGAGGAAGGTACTGGATGTCAAATATCTCTTCTTCTTTCCTGGTGAATACTAGATCCAGTACAGACGGTACATCTCCTTCCCTCATTCTTGTGGCCTGCTTTATGTGTTGATACAAGAATGTCTCCAGAATGAGGTTCACAAATCTGCATGTCCAAAAGTCCTCCATTCTTGCTTCATAGGCCTCCCAGTCTATTGCTTTAAAGTTGAAGTCCCCCAGTATCAACAGTCGTGATATATCTTTATCTGCTTGTACAATAATATCTCTCATGACCATTATGAGGCCCTCTCGTTTGTCATTCAGTTCTTCCTTTGTCCATGTGTTGCTTGCTGGTGGGCTTTAGGCATTTAAAATTATCAGCTTATCATTCTGATTCCAGATCTGCAATGCCATTATGTTAATATCTCGAGGGTTTTCAAATATTAACTCTCTTGCCTTCAGGTGTTTTTTCACCAGTACAGCCACTCCTCCTCCCTTCCTAGTTCTCCTGTCACATCTCCAAACTGAATAGCCCCTTGTGAATATGACTTCATTTAATATATTTCCTTCAAGTTTCGACTCTGATAATGCGACAATATCTGGGACCCTAAGCTGAATTATATCTTGCAATTCCAAAGTTTTTGACCTCAATCCATCAATGTTGGTATATACATTTTTCAGGAACACTTGGAAAAAAAAAAAAAAAATCAGAAAAAATTGAAAGCAAAACTGCACCAAATACCCAGAGATATATTCCTGCCTACCCACATGTTCTATGATTTATGAATCCTATTTGCAGTCAAATTAAGAACTACAAAACAATACCTATTATTATCAGACTTTTATACATATATTTCAATTACAGATAATCAAGGGAGGAAGGCCTATGTATGCACAATTGATAATTGCCGTTATGCTAATCACTATCTGAGAGGGGCCCGCTCTGTATACCCCTGCGTTACCCACCTGGAACCTTCCAAACCATGAGTACCCACCCAGGTTCATATGAATCACAAGTGCCTACTGGAGACTGGACAAAAATCTGGACCCCTCAATAGAAGTGTAGTGAAGCCTAGGGTTAGATCACCACAGAACCCAAGGAAAAAGAACCAGAAAGGAAGTGCACAAAAAACCAGCGATGAATGTAGTGAAACGCCATTTTTTGGTTGAGACCCGAAGGCTCCCGGAGCTATCCAGGCTAATATGTAACTCTTAGCTTTCTGGCATCAGTCAAAGTGCATGGAGTTCTTGCCTACTGGACCATGAGCCAGAACCTGGCCCCCTCAGAGAGGCACGAGGAGCAGTGGCCTATAGAAACCCCCATATGGTTGGAAGCATTCAATGTCTGTCATCGACTGGGTCTGTCACCCAGAAAGGTAGGCACTCCAAAACAAACCCCTATTCTGGTGAAATTATTGCTACCAAAAGCCGAACGACTGGACAGAACTTCCCAACGAAAATTAGAAAACGAGCATGACATCACATTGCCGTGCCGTTGTCTGTGCAACCCCCCCCTTCCTCGGGAGGGAGAAGGGGAAGCTCCAGACCCTCACGCCGGCGATCCAACCGGCAGTTCTCAGGCTGGATGTTAAAAAGATGCGAAAACACTGCCGACCGGAGGGAGGGAGGAATGCCGAGGAGTCTCCAAGTCTCACCCAGAAAATGGCATTTAATTACATTCAACTCTGGCTTTCTGGGGGGGACCCCATTGGGTCCCGGAGCTAATTTCCCAAAGACAAGGAAAAATACTGGGACTTACCCGGGAGGCAGTCAGTCCTCGCACCTGAATGCGAAGTCGAGACAACTGGCTGCAACCGCAGACCCAATGCAATGCAGGCCCTACCAGGCCCAGGGACAATGACCAGGTAGCGAGCGGCCAGGACCTTGTTTGACCTCCAAAATCCCCACACCCAATGGCAACACAAGACATGTTGCCAAAGACGGCAGCCAAGGCTGCAAACTTACAAACGTCATGGGCATGGGAATAGACCACAGGCCAGCAAGACTTAAGAACCCTGCGGACAACCTGAGAATCCCAAGCCCGGGAACAGGGAAGGAGGGGAAACCAGGTCAACCCAAAGCGCATCCCCAGCCACCGAGGCCGTGGGGCGCAAATAACGACAGAACCGCAACCGGACACAGCACATGATGCACCCCCTGCCTGAAAACCAAGCATCGACAACCCAAGAACCCCCCTCCGGAAAGCAGCAGTCACATTCATCACCAGAAAAGAAGGAGACTGTTGCAACTGTACAAATCTACCACCACAACTAAATGAGCAGTAATTCCTGCGCCAGAGGAGAGCATGAAGCTTTCCAACCTGACCCCCAAGAGGCCAATGCCAACAGGAAAAGCTCCTTAGAAAAACAATTCTGAACCGAAGGGGCCAAAACAATCCGAGGAGAAGTGTGAAAAGAGACCACCCGGTCCAAAGACCAGGAAGGCTCATATGGCACAGGAGCAGGCCGGAGGTAGAACAATGCACGAGACAGCTGTTATGGAATGCTTTATCATGTTATTGCGTCGCATAGCACTGGTATTTAATAGCAAATTTTTCAATGTTACAGGGAGAATAAGGTTAACGACCATGAAGGTCGTTAACAGTCAGCACGGTGTGG